TTTACGGCGTAACTTAGTTATATATATACAACGTGCGTAACATAAGTTTGACTGTTTGGCTTAGTAGTTTTATATCGCTGCTTTAAACAACTATTTCTTTAGTTGCTTTAAACAACTCTCTCTCTCTCTCTTTCTCTCTCTTTCTCTGTATATATATATATATATATATATATATATATATATATATATATATATATATATATATATATATATATATATATATATATATATATATATATATATATATATAATATATATATATATATATATATATATATATATATATATATATATATATATATATATATATATATATATATATATATATATATATATATATATATATATATATATATATAAATTTAGGTTTTTAATATGTATATATATATACACACTTATTAAGGTGAATTGAAGAATTAATTTACAAATGCTGCTTCGGAATTTTAACGTGCCAGTATACTCAAAAAATATTAAACAAAACTGTCAAGCAGATAAAAGTATGACGGTATTTCTAAAAAAAATCCAGTAAAAAAAGTGCCGTATAAATTATTGTTCAAAAAGAGAATTTTTATTATTTGTTTTATAAATATTAACGAAAAAAAAAGACTTTAAAAAATACTTAACATTTTATTTTATTTTTGATTTATATGTGGGAATCAGTTTATGTTTGTTACTTTCAAAAGATTCACTTAGTTTTCACACAACATTTTTATAATTACTTTTTAAAAGGTTTTCTACAAAATTTTCTTTGAAATCCATACCATGTAAAATGTATTGGTTTTAAAATAAACAAGTTTTTAAAAACTAACGGATATAAATTGTGTTTTCACATAAAAATCAAACTTAGTACATCTTCTCAAACAAATCGATTCTTCGAAAAAAGGTTGTTTTTAAGGTGAGTTTCCACTCATCCGATTTTTTACGGGAAAGGGAAAGGGAATGTAAAAGTAATCACGTGAGCATGCGCAGTTTTCTTTCGGACAAATAAAAACTTTTATTACGCATGCTCACGTGATTATTTTTTCTTTTCCTATCCCGCTTCTGTTGAAAAACAGATGAGTGGAAACTCGCCTTTAGAGGTGTCCCGGATATCAGATACGCGGATATTTAACAATTATCCGGCCGGATATCTGGCCGAATACGGATAATGTAAGGTAAATATTACATTAAAACAAAAGTTACCGTAATAACCCTTCAAAATGGCAAGTTTTATTTGGAAACTTTTTAAAATTAGTGATAATTGTGATTCTATAGCTATTTGCATTCCATGTGGAAAACAGATAAGCAGGGGGTGTAGTAGACCTGGTCAGCAGTCAAAAATTAAAGAAATATAACTGGACTTTTATCAGTTGTTATTAATAGAGCTACCAGCTTCACCACTATTATCTCCAATCATTTAACGCCAAAATCCAAAATTCAGATAATTCCAATTCAGATAAATCCAAAATTCAGATAATCCGAATAAATTAGATTGTTTTTCAACTCCAGTTGTCCTAAAAAATAAAATATTATTCTTAGATTAAACCACCGCTGATTTGTATTTTGTGTAACTGTCTCAACTTGTTACTTTCTGCTATGTTCAGAAGATACTTTTATTGATCACAAATAATCTTTTTTTGCTTAAAATTTTTTTCTTGCTAAGCTCCCAGTTGCGAGGTGTATAAAAATGATTTTTCTTACAAAAGTCAAGAGGTATAGGAGGTTAAATGTTAGACGCATTAAAAGAAATTATCTGAAGTTTTTCAATGTGATAAGTTCAAAGCTCTTATTTATCTGAAGTTGATAAGATAAAGGTAAGATGAACCAATTAAAGGTAAGATGAACCAATTAAAGGTAAGATGAACCAATTAAAGGTAAGATGAACCAATTAAAGGTAAGATGAACCAATTAAAGGTAAGATGAACCAATTAAAGGTAAGATGAACCAATTAAAGGTAAGATGAACCAATTAAAGGTAAGATGAACCAATTAAAGGTAAGATGAACCAATTAAAGGTAAGATGAACCAATTAAAGGTAAGATGAACCAATTAAAGGTAAGATGAACCAATTAAAGGTAAGATGAACCAATTAAAGGTAAGATGAACCAATTAAAGGTAAGATGAACCAATTAAAGGTAAGATGAACCAATTAAAGGTAAGATGAACCAATTAAAGGTAAGATGAACCAATTAAAGGTAAGATGAACCAATTAAAGGTAAGATGAACCAATTAAAGGTAAGATGAACCAATTAAAGGTAAGATGAACCAATTAAAGGTAAGATGAACCAATTAAAGGTAAGATGAACCAATTAAAGGTAAGATGAACCAATTAAAGGTAAGATGAACCAATTAAAGGTAAGATGAACCAATTAAAGGTAAGATGAACCAATTAAAGGTAAGATGAACCAATTAAAGGTAAGATGAACCAATTAAAGGTAAGATGAACCAATTAAAGGTAAGATGAACCAATTAAAGGTAAGATGAACCAATTAAAGGTAAGATGAACCAATTAAAGGTAAGATGAACCAATTAAAGGTAAGATGAACCAATTAAAGGTAAGATGAACCAATTAAAGGTAAGATGAACCAATTAAAGGTAAGATGAACCAATTAAAGGTAAGATGAACCAATTAAAGGTAAGATGAACCAATTAAAGGTAAGATAAACCAATAAGATAATTGATAAGATGAACCAATTGGAAACTTTCCAAATGATGTTTCTGTAAAACTAAAAATGTCAGGCACGAACAATCCCAGTCAGGAAATTGATACCATATTGATATAAAAATGATATCAAGCTATGATATATATGATATCATGATATGAGACGTTTATGATATCAATATGATACTAAAATGAAATCATTCATTGATATCATTTTGAACGCAAACATGGTATTATAATATGAGAAATTTATGATATCAATATGATACCAAAATGAAATCATTTATTGATATTATTTTGAACTCAAAACATTATAACATAATATGAAAAGTTTATTATATCAATATTATATCAAAATGAAATCACGCATTGATATCATTCTGAACTCAAATCTTGATATCAAAATATGAGAAGTTTAAGCAAAACTAGTTATCATAATATTTCCGCTATAATTATTTTATTTAAATATATTTGAAATAAAAAACATTTTAATTATTATTTTAACTAACTAATTTTTATAAAAAATATTTTATAATTGTTTCAAATAATTTTCTATTCATTTATATTGTATCGTATAAATAAACATTAAGTTAAATTATATCGTATAAATAAACATATTTGGTAAAATTGATAGATGTCATATTATATTTATTTAAATATAAGTTCAATATTACATAACGCTTCGAAAAAAAATTCAATATAAGAGTTAAGAGTTAAGAGTTAATATAAGAGTTAAGAGTTTTATTTGATAAAAATAATAGACAGCAAATACTCAGGTAAAGCCAAAACAAAAACAAATACAGAAAATGTCACAAGTTTGTAGATTGGTCTTTGCAGATATGTATTCAGAAAGATAGAGATAAGAACTCGGCTATAGTATAATAAAATAATAAACAAAAACATTAGCCACCAAAAGAAATGTAAGTTATTGCATAATTATTAACAAAATAAAAAAGATTTTGACCTTTTTCCTAATATTTTTCTTATACTAAGTTATGTAATTTTTTTTTCTGATAAAAGTTAAATCACACAAGCTTCATTGTTTTGCAATTCAAATTGCATATATATATATATATATATATATATATATATATATATATATATATATATATATATATATATATATATATATATATATATATATATATATATATATATATATATATATATATTTATATATATACATATATATATATAAATATATATTTGATACTATTTCATTAGAAAATGTATTTTAAATTTGACACTTAAACACAAAAACAATATTTAATAGAAATTTCCACGCTTGAGTCAACAGCTTTTATTAATCTTTGCATTAATTTTTATTACTTACTGCTGTTCTTGATAATTTATTCAAGTCACCAAGCCTTATTGAGTCAATTAATATTTTCTGTACAGTATATGTACAGTTTAAGCTACACTTAAACTAACAATTAGAAAATGAACGTATTTTTCTCTGCCGAGTATATGATTTAAAACCACTTGCCCACAATATAAAAGAAAAGTGCTCGATTCAGAGGTTTTTTATAATTTCATATATTTTAGACTTGATTTTACAACATGGTTTGCAATTAAATTTTATATGAATGTATTCTTTTAAGGAACATAATTAAACAGGTTATTAATTTGATCAGATGACAATCAATGGTATTTGTAAAGATTTTAAAGATTTATTCATTTTTAAAGATTTACTCGTTTTTAAAGATTTATTCGTTTTTGGAATAACTATATATAGTTATATATGGGACATGTACGCAGTAAATATACACTGTATACACTGTCTTTTACAGAATAACTTAATGTAAGTAACGTTTATATGTGTAAAGATTTATTCATTTTTTAATTTTATTTTGAAGACGCAAATAAATGATATTTTTTTAAAAGTAATTTTAAAATTAATTTTTCAACATATCTGAATAATAAATTAAATTCATTTTGATAACATTTATAAATAATAGTGAAAAGAGAAATATTGTAAAATTAACTAATCTTTTCTAAACTAAAATCTTCTCATCAGCTTGACAAGCATAAATTCGACGTAAAGAGGACTTGGGCTGTTACAAACGAACTAACAGGAAGAGAGAAAAAAAGGCACACATGCTTACCACAAAAACTTATTTCCGATAAAAAAAAATTATAACAAGAACAACAAAATTATGTCAAGAATTTAACAAACATTTTGTTAATGTAGTTTTTATGTTTTTAATATTTGTTTAATATTAGTTTTTATGTATAAGTATAAGAACAATCTCCTACCTAGCTACCAATCTCCTACGTTTTTTGAGATAAAATTTGCGTTCAAATACCAGGTACAACTATCACTTACGGAAAATTAAATCACATCAGTCAAATTTTTTAATTACAAACCGTGGCCGATCAATATGGAATCATTTCCAAAATAAAAATATTAAAGACCTAAAAAAGCATTTCATCGTTTAAACGGGAAACTAAAATGCATCTTCTTAATTCCTGACATACATTTTAAAGTTTACAGTATTTGTTTACAGTATTTATTTATTTATTTCTTCTTCTTCTTATTTTTCTTGTTTTTAACATTTTTTGTTTTTTAATTTGTTACACTAAAAAATATGAGCTTTGTTTCTATTGAATTTTTATTTTATTTTTAAAAATTCAATAAAGCAAGTCATGAAAAAAAAGCAACAAGCTTTTTTTTCATGACCGTTTTTTTAACAGTATTTTATTTGCACTACGTACACAATACTGGGGGTATGGATTTAACTAAGCGTCACAATTCTTATGGGGATAGTTTTTTGGATACCTTACTTTGCATAGCATAACAACGATATGTTTTCGGTATTTGCTAGTAATTTATTTATAGCACCAACAGTAATTTAATTACTTTTATTATTAATAGCTAACACTTATAGGGCTTGGTTGGAAAGTATGTGCAATCGCTTACTATATCTGACCAAGCATATAACATTCAAAAAGAGCATTTCAAAAAGCGCAAAGAAAAACTTAACTTGACGGGATAAAACTACTTAAAAAAATTAACTCGAGTTTTTAACGAAGAAAATAACTTAATTACAACAAAATAAATTACGTTTAGAACAAATTATATCTAAACTACGCTCATTTTATAATCTGTTTATAAAATTAGACGACGCCTTTATAAAAAGTAAAAACTTACAATTAATGATCTTTTAGTTAAGAAACAAATGTTCTTCAATTTATCAAACCCTATGAAATAACTCTTTTTTTATATATATTTATGTTTTATTTCAATTTTATTTTAATAAATATATATATATATATATATATATATATATATATATATATATATATATATATATATATATATATATATATATATATATATATATATATATATATATATATATATATATATATATATATATATATATATATATATATATTAGTCATATTACATTCTAAGCAAATAATTATTTAATTTTGTTTTTAGCAATCTATTTTTTTAGCAGTTATTAGAATGCAAACTTTAATGGTTAAATTAAAAATAAAATTAAAAACCTATAAGGTGATGTTGATGATGATCTTACGGACGACTGTGTTTACCTTCGAATTGATCCTCTCAGTAAGCTCACATTCAATTAAAACAATGTCAATCCAAAAAAACATTGATTTGTCATTGTTAATTGTAATTTTGCTGCTCCAAACAAAACTTCTTTTCTTTCAAAATATTTATTAAAATGAATTCCGCTCATCATGATAAATCATTACAAACGTTTAACAAACGTTTAACAAACGTTTAACATCAGTTTATATAAAATAATACCCACAAAAATTAACATTACAAACGTTTAACATCAGTTTATATAAAATAATACCCACAAAAATTGACATTACAAACGTTTAACATCAGTTTATATAAAATAATACCCACAAAAATTGACATTACAAACGTTTAACATCAGTTTATATAAAATAATACCCACAACAATTGACATTACAAACGTTTAACATCAGTTTATATAAAATAATACCCACAACAATTGACATTACAAACGTTTAACATCAGTTTATATAAAATAATACCCACAAAAATTGACATTACAAACGTTTAACATCAGTTTATATAAAATAATACCCACAACAATTGACATTACAAACGTTCAACATCAGTTTATATAAAATAATACCCACAAAAACTGACATTACAAAAACCGTTTAATACATAATTACAATTAAAATAATAAAGAACTATTAATAAAAAGAAACCAGATATATGGCATATAATTAATAACTGTTAGCCTACTGAAACTTTTATTGTCATAAGCAGTTGTAAAACGAAGAGTCAAATTGATTTTGTTGAGTATAGACAAGTTAGGAAAACATGATTATGTCTATTTTTTTATTACGAATGGGTGTACGTCTTTGTTGGAGATATTGATGCTCGTTTAACTTGATTTATTTCATCGCCATATCACCAGCTAAAGCTAAACAAGGAATTTTCATTTAGTTTGATTAATCTGGAAGCCATACAAGAAGTATTAGGCTATGATAACTTGATTAGGTGTAGTTCTGATTCATTTTAAAGATTGTATTAGCCTGGGGCAACACGACCGGGGCAACATGATTTTTGCGTCATCTATGTTAAACGGAAGTTTACTTCTACTGGTTGCTATCCTTGTATTGTTTAATCGTTATTTTATTACGAAATACAATATTTTGCTTGACAATAGTTTAATTTTGTTGTGTTGGAGTTTGCTACAAACTGATTACTAGGTTGTTGTTGTTTTTTGTTTGCATAGTCCGATATAAATATATAATTATTTAGTTTTAAAAATTACACCTTTATTTGTACTACTTTTTTTATAAACAAGAGTTTGTGATAATGCCTTTTGAGACGTTTATAGCTTCATAGAGTTATCGTTTTTAAAGTCTGAAACTTTGTTAACTGAAATCTTCATCTTGCCTTGCCACGTGACAAGATAACAATTTGAGTTAACATTGGTTAATGAGTTTTTCCTAAGCTATTTTCAACTTTTAAAATATTTTTTTTGATACATAAGTGACGCGGAATGATTTTTTATCACTTCTAAATCAAGTTTTAAATTTTGGGACAGTTATTGACTGAGATATAGGCGTTTTCCGAAACGCTCGTCATATTGCCCCGGGTTCCCCTACCTTTTCTGCCATCATTAAAATGATTAATAGCAGAGTAAATTCTCTACTTTTAACCAATTAGAAATGTAATTGAGTTCTTTGTTTGTTGTTGAAAAGAGTTCATTAATAGTAGAATAGGATAAGAAAAGATTAATTTCATCAGTGAACATGACACTTTTTTGGACGCTTTGTTTTAGTCGTTTACATAGTCAAAAAATAGTAGTGGTCTGAGAATGAAACCTTGTGGAACACCACAGGTTATGCTCAGGGGTTCACTATGCTGACCATCATTACTATACACTAGTTTTTTTTGAATTTGTTAAATAGCTTTTAAACCATTTTAAAATTCTATTGTTTAAATGATAATGTTTAATTTTTTGGATTAAATGTGTAGATTGACCTTTTTAAAAGCTTTTGATAGATCAATAAAAATACCTAGTGTATATTGAGATTTTTCAAAAGATTCAGAGATGTTATGTATAAATTATATAATGGTATATTCCTTTGAACTCCCTTTTGAATCATACTGATTGTTATGAAGTAATTAAAATAATTGTATACCCTGTTGGAGATGTTTCTTCCTAAAGTTTTAGAAACTATAGAAAAAACAGAGACTATAATAACTGGTATTGGATCTGTCGCCTTATTTATGGATAGGGGTTAACTTGGCAAGTTATAAACGTTCAGGAAAAATAACTTGATAAATAGATGCTCTGAAAATTTTAAAAAGAATATTTTTCATTGTTTTTAGCAATCTATAACAATATTTCCGTTTATTTCATCTGAACGAGGTGTTTTATTCTTTTTTAACGATTTGAAAGCTTTTTCAAACTAATCAAATGATTGTTCGGCAGATAACACTTCAGAGCAAATACCTTATAACTTATATCTTTATCAATAGGTATCAAAAAAAAAAATCATAAAATGAGATTTTTTCGTATTTTGCTTGACAGAGTGGATCCAATTTTAGTGAAATATTTATTGAATTCATGAGCTATTAATTGTGGTTCATACAAGCTATTGTTATCGAATTAAAGCATATGTGGCAAATCGTTATCGCATTAAAGCATATGTGGCAAATCGAATTGAAGCATACTGGAAAACCAAAAAACATGCTTAAGAGCTTAAGCATGTTTTTGGCTTTCCAGTAATTTCTTTCAATACTTGGCAAGTACATTTTTAGTCATTTTCAATTTTGTTAATTTATTTCGAATAGTGATTTTTTTTTAATTTTTTCGGATTTTTTCAAAAAGATTTTCGTAATCTTTGTAAATTTTTTCACTAGCTGGTGTTTTTGTTTTCAGATATTTTAAGTATAGCTTTTGTTTAGTTTTGGATGAGTATTTGAATCCCTTGGTAATCCAGGAATTATTATAGTGTTTTGTTTTTAATGTAACTATAACAATTGGAAAATTAGATTCGTAAGGAGAGGTGATTTTTTCAAAGAACTTTTCAGCATCTTTTGACAATTCTTAAATAACCCAATTTAAAAATGCTTTATGTTAATAGACGACATAAGATGGTTATTTTTTTTTTATTGCTTTATATATAAATATTCTTTTTCACCCTATTTTTTATATCAAAAGATTCCTTATAAATTTTTTTCTCTCTGCATATAATTTATATGCAGAGAAAAAAAATTTAATGCCACACAAGAAACTCTAAAGATTTGACCTTAGATTTCACATAGAGCTTTATAATAAATATAAAAATATGTAAAAAGTTCTAAACTTTGTTTTAGCACTCTAGAACTACTAGTATTATAATTAATTTTAATTTCAAAAAGAAACAAAGTTTCATGTTTAAAATATTTTTTTAAATTTATTTAGAATGAAGAATTCATTTGCTTTCTTGTTTATGTGGTTATTTTTATTTTCAAAAGGTAATTTCAAAACAATTTTATATTTGTTGTTAACTAATATGAAACGTTTTTTTCAAATCAACGTTTCTAAAGATATATATATATCTATATATCTATATATATATATATATATATATATATATATATATATATATATATATATATATATATATATATATATATATATATATATATATCCTTATAGTGTAGTCGAAAGAGACTTTTATGGTAAAAAAAGTCTCTTTCGACTACAATTTTTTTACCTCGTCTCTTAAGCTGCATTTCGAAAAGTCAAGTTTAAAACATGCGTAAATGTTGCTACATCGACTATCTTATAGCCTGCTGCTACAAGGGAGTGTTGCTACATCGACTATCATATTGCCTGACTCGCAACGGAGTGCTGCTTCATCGACTGACATATAGCCTGACTCGCAAGGGAGTGCTGCTACATCGACTGATAAATAGCCTGACTCGCAAGGGAGCGTGCTACATCGACTGAGGGTTTGGTTTGGCCAGGCAGTCTATCATTTAAAACAAAAAAAAAATTTTTTGTTTTAAATGATAGATTTTTTTTAAATTTTCTGGTCAGGCTTATTAACGCGCTCTTTAAAACAACAGTTTATGGGGAAAACTTTTGTGACTACTATATATATATATATATATATATATATATATATATATATATATATATATATATATATATATATATATATATATATATATATATATATATATATATATATATATATATATATATATATACATATATATATTTATACATATATATATATATATATATATATATATATATATATATATATATATATATATATATATATATATATATATATATATATATATATATTAACATTTCCACTTCAACATTTTTTTGAATAGGGACTGGGTTGTCTAACCATATAACTCTAATTGGCTAACCATATGACTAAAATTTAAATCTCTTTAAAAAGCTTTAATACTGTTATGTTAGTTAATTTGCTTTTATTAGTTTTACGTTATATTTATATTTTGTTTTTATTTATTACTATTTTATTTTGTTTTTGTTTAAGGGCATAAACTTAGCGAGTGGTTTCCTTTTAGCAACTGCTCAATAAGCACACGTACACGAACTTGCAAAACTGCACATGAATGTAAAAATATTCAACTAGTTGAGACTATTCCATGTGTTACTCGATGTCCAGGTATTTATTTATCAGTTGCCATTTTTTTCTGTAAACAAAAAGTAATGTTTTTAATAGTTAACAGTGACAAAGTTTTTTTGTTTTTTAAAAAAATGAGTAAATTTTCCATTTTGATTTTTCTGGAACTTTTTATCCATTTTAAAAATGATGTGGTCTTCCTTTTTGATTTTTAAGGAGTTTTCCTGCTTCAGTTTGTCTAACCTTGGTTACCTTTGTTGATTTTGTAACTTCCTCTTTATGTAGCTTTGTAAATGTATTGTGATGTAACCAAGTCTTCAAACTTATTGTAATGTAAATAAAAAGTATAAAATAATCTTGTTTCGTATATTATGACTGATATTGCAATGAGTTTTCGAACTAGTAGATTTAAAAGAAAAAGTTAAACTTCTTGTTGCGCAGACGTTTTCAGCAAAATTTTCTCCTTTTACAGTTGATCTTGTAAGAGATGACCTTAATGAGTTTAAATACTTGAAAAGAAAAATTATTTATTCTTACCTTTTAAAAAAGTAGGATGTTAAGAAACTCTGCAGCTCAATAACTAGGTGTGCAGTCATCATTAATTCCTAGCCGGCATTTTTACGTTCAAAAATCTTTCAAAAAACGTCCGCCTGTTCGTTCAGTTGTAGTTTATTTTAGGTACCCAGTTAAAATTATGAAGACGTTCTGAAACGACGTTTAAATGGCGTCCAAACCGGATGTTCAAATGTTGTTCTGATAAAACGTTTAAAAGACGTTTGAAGTTAATGTCTTTTAGACGTTCAAACTAGACGTTCTAAAATAGTTCAGCTGGGTGCCCAGATGAAATACCGAAGACATTTCTCAAAGACTCAAAAAACGTCTCGAATGTATTTTTAAATAACTTACATACAGTTGTACGGATTTAAATTTTTTTAAATTTATTTATGATATTACAAGATGAATAAATAAATATTTCTTTTTCAAAAAAACATAAGAATATCAAATAAGTAATCAGTTTATAAATGTCTCGGTACTTTTCATTTTGAACGAACGAATCATACTTTTCATTTTGAACGCACAAAATTTTGTGAATTTCAACATTGCTGTATTCAGTTATCGATTCTAAAATTGATAAAAATGGTATTAATGATATAAATTGATAAAATTGATATTACTAGTAAAAAAATTTTATTTAAATTATTTTGTGTAAAAATCAAGAAAATTTTCCAGTAATCACTGAAATAGAAAACATAAGTAAATTTTTTTAATGAAAATAAACTAAAAGGTCTAAATTAAAACAATGCTCCCTTTGTAGAGCATTTGTCTCATTGTGAAAGTTTTTTACAATGAGACTTTTAAGATTTAATTTTAACTGACTTCCGTACCTAAAAACAATTTATGTATTTTCTAAATTAAGTTACAGACTTTTTTTTTCACCGTCGAATCTTATGGTCTTCTAAAACATGGTCCACTAAATTATTTGTGCAAATTCATTGTAAAATTTACAATTTTTGTTTTATGTTTAAAACATATAACAAAAAAAAAGCCTCATATGCAGCAGTTATCTTTTGTATTTAATTAACCATAACATTTACTTGTTTGTTGTTAATCTAGTAAAAAAATAAAGTGTTTTTTGGGGTAGCAAAAGCTTAAAAATTTTTATTTTGGTCACTTTTAAATAAAATTTCATTTATAGCCTAAGATAAAATGGCTTATTACCTTTTAATCACTCTAATTTAAAACTAAACAAAAAGTCTGAGCAAATATCTTATATATCTTATATCTTTATCAATAGGTATCAAAAAAAAATAATCATAAAATGAGGTTTTTTCGTATTTTGCTTGACTTGTAAAAAGTCTGACTTTAGTTAATTAAAGACCTTTTTACCTAATTCACATTATGAGGTGCAAAACTTTGACACATGATTATTGACAATTTTAATTTTTATGATTAAATGTGAAAAAACGGACGTGAATTTCAAAATTTATTTTTGCGAAAAAAAATAATTATTATACAATGATTTGTTTTGTAACCTTTCGACAATAGTGTTTTTCTGCAACTCATATCAAATTGCAAACATGATTCGTTGTAAAACTCTGCTTCAATTTATAACGTTATTTTCTTCTTGCTTGCATTTATTTAAACTTTAATAAAAAAATAATAATAATAAACGCATGCACAATTTAATAATTTATTACATATATAGTTATAAAACATAGTAAAAACATATGTAAAACATGGTCACAGCATAAACTATTAACATGTTTATCATGTTACAGTTACATTTATTTTTATCAGTGACGATAAAGTTGAATTTATCAACAAGACATTAAACCTTATTTATCTATAGTAATAGTAATACAAACTGCTTTAACGACAATTGTCGCGGAGCATAAAGTTTAAAATTTATACTTTAACAGCCGTTAATAAATGTTTATCTAGTCTAGCTCTAAAAGAATTTACTGTCATTGCAGAAACCACTTTTTCAAGTAAAGCATTCCAATGAGCAATTCCAATTATGTGTTAATTTGAAGAAAGCAATGAGATCTCCTCTTATACGTCTTGTTTCAAGAGTTGTGAGGCCCAACTTTGTCAATCTTTCGGTATAACTTAGATGTTTTAGTTCAGGGACTAGCTTTGTTGCTCGTCTTTGAATTTTTTCTAGGTCATTGATATTGTTTTTATTACTTAGACTCCAGACTGGAGCTGCGAATTCCAAGTGTGGTCTAACCAGCGATGTGTATAGTTGCCTTACCATTTTAGTGTAAAGATAAGTAAAGCTTATTTTATATATATATATATATATATATATATATATATATATATATATATATATATATATATATATATATATATATATATATATATATATATATATATATATATATATATATGTATATATTTTAGAATTCGGAACTTGTGCGCGTATCAACAAAGATATGCGCATATCATTCAAATGTTATGCGCATAATATGCATATGATACACATACAAATTTAAGCGATAAATGGTATGTGAGAATAATTATTGTCAAATATAAAAATAAAATGTTTTTTAAATGGAACGCAAATGACTTTAAATTAAAAAAAAAATATTTTTAAATTAAAATTAATTATTTCAAATTATTTTCATGATTACAGATTTAAAAAAATATATTACAAAGCTTGGCAATTTGTTTTGTTTTTGCATTACGTTTGTTCATTTATAATTTCTTCACACTCGAATTTGCTCCTTCCTCTAAAATGTAGTCGTTTTTGTCGTTTGTATCCATCAAAACACTAATGGTATATATAAAAACTATTTTTTTTTTACGCGTTCGTTTGTCAAACGATTCCTCAATCGTGATTAGGGATGGCAAAAATCCCGGAAATTTGTCCCGGGGAAATCCCGGGAAATCCCGGGATTGAATAAAAAAAACGCAATTGAATACTTTTTAAGTACTCATCAAACACTTAAAAATGATTAACTAAATAATAGTATAACTAAAATATTTAATACATCAATGAACCTAAAATTAATTTAAAAACATGTTTTAACTTAATTTTATTATATTAAAACTTATCTAAGACTTTTAAATATTAATGAACCTAAGTATTTTAAGTTATAAAACAATACCTTAAAATGGTAACACAGTATAAATAAAAATAATACTTAATATATATATATATATATATATATATATATATATATATATATATATATATATATATATATATATTCAGGGTCGGCGCGAGTAGGTGTCACGCTGGGGGGGGGGGTGCCATTATCACTGTAAAAAATAAAAAAAAAGGTAATCGTTTTCGAAAATTTGCCGACTGCATGACGACATTTGCCGACTAACTGTTTAAACTACCGACTACCCTATATCGAAAGGGGCGTCATTTGCCAATTAACTAGTCGAAAAGGGTCAAATTTGCCGACTGAAAATCATTGATGGGGAGTGTTACGCCCCTACACACCCCTTCGCGCCGGCCTTGTATATATATATATATAGTATAATATAATATAACATTATATTTTGTATGTTTGATCGTACATAATTTGCGGACAAGCAATAATGTTTTGAGTTTTTATTATTAAAAAAATAGAGAGTGAATTTTAAAAGGAAAACATTGCAAAGAGAATAAATAGTTACACAACCAAACAGCATTTGGAGACTAATCTCGGGATTTCAGGATGAACAATTTGAAAGAAATCCCGGGATTTCGGGATCCCGGGATCCCAGGATTGCCAACTCTAATCGTGAAAGAAATAAATCGAAAAATTGACCAAGTTCTCTCTGCTGTTGCTGACGAACAAATTATTTCAAAAATAGATTTTGCAACTTCAAAGACTGCTGGATATTTCTGATGACCAACAATATTCCAAAAATTCAACTTTTTTTACATATATAGCTCATAAAAACAACTTTTTTACATATATAGCTCATAAAAACAACTTTTTTACATATATAGCTCATAAACTTAATTCTAAAATTCATTCATCTTACATTAGCTCTAAAAATCTTACACATCCAAATCTTTATCATTTACTTATATCTCTAACAAACCATTATGAAATCTTATGACTTATATCTAAATTAAAACCTAGAAAATCAATAGGTCCTGACATAATCCCCACAAACATTCTTATTGATTTTAATTCTGAATTTTCTTATATTTTCTGTTAGCTATTCAATATCTCCTTCTTAAATGGAACTTTTCCTGACATTTTGATATTATCTTGTGTCATTTCAGTATATAAAAGTTGCTCAAAACTCTCATTTACTTATTATAGACCGAGTTCAATTCTATTTAACATTAGTAAGCTCCTTGAAAAACTAATGTATTCTAGATTAAACTTATTTTTGAGTTCCTTCAACTGTTTAATTGTTTTTCAGTTTGGGTTTTGATTAAAACACTCTACTTGCCACGCTTTAAAAAGTATAACCGAAAAAATAAAAAAGGCAGTTGATACTGGTCATTTTGTTGGTGGTGTTTTTATTGACTTACAAAAAGCGTTCAGTACATGTAATCATAACATTTTAATTTTTAAACTTGAACATTACGGAATCCGAGGAGTTGCTTGTAATTGGTTTCAATCTTACATTTCAAATCGGAAGCAGTTTGTAAGCATTAATGGTTAAAAATCATATAACAAACATATAGTTTGTGGTGTTCCATAGGGTTTTGTTCTTGACCCTTTATTGTTTTTGATTTATATTATTGATCTAAACAACTCTGTATTGTTTATTGTATACCTGTATTGTAATAATAATTGTGTACCTGTATTGTAATAACCCTTTATTGTTTTTGATTTATATTTATGATCTAAATAACTCTGTCCACTTCTCATCAGTCCAATTGTTTGCGGATTAAACTAATATCTGGCATATTATTAAGCCTCGTCAGTCCTTGTGCAAGAATATAAACTTAGATCTAAAAGGTTTAGTTCATAGCCTAAATGCAAACATAATTTCTCTTAACTTGGAAAAAACTAAAATTATATTTTTTTTCATCTCCAAGACAAAAAGTTTTATACAACAATCATATAACTAAAATTAAAATTAATAATAGAAGTTTATATTTAACACACGTTGTTAAATATCCTGGTACTTTTATAGATAAAAATACCAGGATATTTTTATCTATAAAATTATTTATACCATAAAACTGCCCTTAAGAATATTTTGTATTTTGCAATTTTTTAGTCTCATCTCAACTTTTAATGTCAGGTATGGGGACAAATGGCAACAGTAATATTAATAAATTGTTATCTGCTGAGCGCCAATCAATCTGAATAATACATTTTCAACTTCATAATACAGAAACTTCTTTAAAAACTTAAAATTCTTACCATGTCAGCACTAGTTAAATTTGCTAATCTTCTTTTTGTTGTTGATTCCCCTAATAAAAATTAACCTTCCTCTATTACAACATTCTTACAACAAATTCGATTTATAAATTCACATTTTAACAGAAACATCAATAATGGAAAACTAAATGTACCACCTTATAAAACTTTGAGGTAAGTATTCAATAACACATCATTGTATCAATGAATGGAATCGAAGTCTTGTGTACAATGTGAATACGTTTGAAAAAATAAAACTTCAAAATAATTTGTCATAATTTCTTTATTTAAAACAAAATTAGTTTAAACAAATTCTAAAAAAAATTTTATTTTAATTTTTTATCATTATTAACTTCTTTTAGTTTTCTTTTTTTTTCTTACTGTTTTTATAAAAACGTTGTTGTTTTTGTCTATTTTTAATTTTTTTTATCTGTAACAGAAGACTCAAGATAAACAAACTTATTTGTATCTTTCCCTAAAATAGTCAATCACATCATTGTTGACAATATCAGTTGTTCAAGAAAGTCTATTTTCTACATCAGACACAGATTGCTTAGAATATCTTGTATACATCTCTTTTTTTTATTAATCATGGCTTTTAAATGAATGTTTAAATCAAAATGACTTCTAGCTTTACTTTTCTTCTGCTTCTGATGTCAATCTTTTTGCAATAGATAGCTCTATTCAGTACTTCATCACATGATCTTATTTCAATACTCGATCTTTTATTACTCGATTAATCTATATAGTTCCCATTTGTTTTCATAGTTTGTTTTTCCTTAAAAAACTTTTTTATAAATTCACATAAGCTTTAACTCTTGACTAAAAATTTTTTTGAACTGGTGAACTGCTGCTGCTGAACTGCTGCTGCTGAACTGCTGTATTGTATAGCGAAACAATGTAGAACTGGTGCTGAACTGCTGTATTGTATAGCGAAACAATGTAGAACTGGTGCTGAACTGCTGTATTGTATAGCGAAACAATGTAGAAATCTTTTTTAACTTTTTAAATTAATAATTTATTGGAGCAATATTTTCGACAGGATTTTATTTCTGCCAATAACATGTAACTGATAAAAAAAAAGTTAAGCTGCCTTAATAAAAAAAAATGATTTATTATCTTCTCTATCTTATTCTACTTATTGTGTTTAGGTTTTTGGCCGTTAAGAGATGAAAACAACACAAGAGTAAAAAGAAACGTAAAGGTAGTTTATTGTTATTAGTATTTTGTTATGCAGTGTTGTAGTTATAACCTGTCCATTTTCAATATTGTTTTTACTTGCCTTTTAACTGGTAAATACAAGTTACTTGTTCTTTACCTAAAATTTTATATTAACATATTTCTCTTTAGATAAGCTGACTTAAAGCTTTAATAATTTTTATTGATTTTCATTAACTAACGTAAAAAAATGATTATCAATACAAACTAATTTGTTATAATGCATCAAATATTAAATGTATCAAAAACAATCAATATTAGTTTTTATGTAAATTTTTTGTTTTTGAAAAATTACTAAGTATCTAGTGGAGAACGTAATAACTTAACTATTGATTATTGAACTTTTGAATATGTATAAATAAAATTAATTAAAATGTCTCATTAAACCTCAATCCAGGGGCGGATCCAGCATTTTTTGGACTTTGAAACAGCTAACTTCCAGACATGGAGCAAACTTCAAACATTTATATGTTTATACTAACGTCAAATAAAGATGCAAAAAATTGCGATGATAGAGTTCCCAGAGTCTGGAAACAAAAAAGCCTCAAAACATTCTCCCCTCCTGTCCCAAACGTGAGAGCAACAAGTTGATAAAATATGTTTTACACTATTCTTAACTAGACTTACATTTATTGATAAATTTTAAATTTTAGAGTGTAATTTATAAACGTTCAAAATTTTGGAATTTTATATAATTTGAATACTAAAGCATTATTCTATGAAACTTAAAATTTAACAATGAATATAAGTCTTGTTGAGAATAGTACAATGTTTTAAAACATGTTTCATCAACTTGTTCCTCTCCAATTTGGGGCAGGGGGGGGGGCGAAGTATTTACGACTTCTTTGTTCCTAGAATCCGAACATTGCAATTTTTTGCAAAGCATTTTTATTTGACATAATTATAAACATTTAAATGTTTGAATTTGCTCCATGTCTAGAAGTTATCTAGAAGACCAAAAATGGCTGAATCCGCCACAGCCTCAATTAGTTTTAAGTAGGGTACCATCTTGTTTCTTTTTCTTTGTCTATCATATTTCTTAAATTTCTTTTTATTTTCTTAAACAATTATAATGTTTGTCCTAGTAGATAGCATTTTCCCCAAACTCCACTTTTATGAACCAGCCTTTTTTAATTGTTTCCTAATCCATTTTGAAAGAGTATTTAAGTATAGCTTTTTCATCTTTTTATTACACCTTATATGTTTTGGATTTAAGGAATGCGTGTAAAAGATAGATCTAACAGTTGCTTGATTGCTTTTTAAGTTTTTCTATCCACTTAATAAATCATATTTGCACTGCTCCAATAAATTCATTGTATGGTTATTAAAACCATATTTATGAATTGCACACGCATGAAAGGTCTTCAATTTCAAAACATTGAATTGATCGATTGTATTATGCATCATTTTTTATGACTTGTATTGAAGTTGTAAAATAAATTCTAATACCATAACTTTTTATGAAAATAGCATTTTTTAGCAACTATCTTTCGTAATTATTTTAACTGTTAGGTTCAAGTTTTCATTATCAAGTTTTAATTTAGTTTTCCTAAAAACTTTTGTGAAATTAATTATCAGTAGGGAAAAGCGGGGCAACAGCCGTGAAGCAATAATACTTTCTCTGTATGTTTATATTGTTAAAATTCTTCATTGCCTGCATGAATTTTCAGTTTGCAAATATAACAATTTGAAATAAAAATTAAAATAAAAAGTTCATAAGTTTGTCATTTAGTCACGAGACCGGGGCAAGATGACTTATTATGCAATTTTTACCTCCAATTTTATAAAATTTTAAAAACTACCAATAACTCTAACTAAAGTAACACAAAATAAACACAAATCGCAAAAAACTACCTCTAAAGAAGTTAAACTCGAAGGACACCATCCATTATGAGAAACCGAATATGAGGAATTTTTTTTTAGGCGCAAAAAGTAAACTTATGCGTACTTATGCGTTGATAATATTTCAAAAAACCACTTGGTGTTTTAAAATACAAAATGAAAATACAGTTTCGTAGTTTTTTAACCAATTTTAAAATTTTTTGTTGAGTTTTTATATGAAAACCCTTCTTGCCTCATTCATCATGTTGCTCCGCTTTCCCCTATATAGTATTTTTTAATTCTTTGATGTTTTTAGTTTCTGTTATTTTCCTATAAAACTTTTGAAAGTGCTTTCCCATTTTTAAATTTATATTATTTGATTAAAAGACAACAACATAATTTTCAGTTTGATGCAAAGTTAAACCGTAAAAGTACTCTGACGAGTGGACGCCATCTTAATGTTGGAAGTTACCTTTCATCAGGGAATGGATATTATGCGGTTATGCAAGCAGATGGAAACTTTGTTCTTTTCGTTACACAACATTGGGTAGCAAAAATGCAATTTGGTCAAGTGGCTCAAATGATAAAGGAGATGCCCCCAGAAGAGTTGTGATGCAGAATGATGGAAACTTGGTTATATACGATCTCTACAATAAAGTGACTTGGGAAAGTAATACTTCTCAAAAAGGGACCAAGCCACAGCGTCTAGTAATGCAAACAGATGGAAACTTGGTAATTTATGATAAAGAAAATAAATCAATATGGGACACAAAAACGAGACGTGGCTAATAAACATTATTTGAATGGAAGTTTTTTTAATATAAATGTTCAGGTTTAATAAAGTTAACGATTTTGCAATCGAAATATTATTTACGACATTAACAAGAATTTGTTATTGTAACATTTTTGAATACTATTATTGCAGTTTTAATCATTGCAGTTTATTATTTTGAAGTCGCTTACTGTAGCCGTTTTTTTAAAACGCCTTAAGATACTTATTACGTATTTCGAGAATAACGCATTTAAATTAAAAATTATAAAGAGAAACTCTTTGTAAAACATTTTTTGAAACTAAATTTTTTTATAGTTCTTCGTAAATGTTTATTCAACAAAGTTTGCAGTCATCTAAATTAACTTATTTTGTAAAAAAGTCAAATATGACTTTTCTTATATTAAGACGTTGAAAAACGGCTGCAGCATAAACCTGTTAGATTATTTGGCGAAGTCCAAAAACATTAATTAAATGTTGCAAATTGGTAAACCAGTATATATATATATATATATATATATATATATATATATATATATATATATATATATATATATATATATATATATATATATATATATATATATATATATATATATATATATATATATATATATATATATATATATATATATATATATATATATATATATATGCTCTCAAATGCGTGTAAAGAACAGAGCACTAATAAATTAGTAAAAAACACTTATGTAATTTTGTATTCAATTCGTACTTTTACCTTCTGTATACAGAAGGTAAAAGTTCACACACACTTTCTGATACTATAGTATTTTTAATTTTTTATTTTTTATTAAGATATATGAAAATTGATTTTAAGCGATTCTAACCAAATGGTTAGTCTAAATAATAAGCAAAAAATATCATTAATATATAGTAATAATTGTCTTTAATTCGCATTCCCGCTTTGCTATTCGCCATTACCCCACTCTCCCCTAACTGAGAAAAACATCTTGGAAAACACACAAAAATAGCTTAAACAGCAAAACTTTAAAAGATGTATGAATGCTCTACAAAATAAATTCTATGTTGTCTCATGAAAATCTAAAATCTATTTATTTTTCCGACAAACATAGTTATCTCACATGTGCTTATATTATTTAGGCAAGTACGCACAAATCCAAATTGAATTCTTTTCACGCATATCAAAAACATGCACCAAGATTAGTTTATAATAAAGATAAATTTACCCATGTTGAACCATTTCTAAAAGCCTTGAATGCACTAAATGTCTACCAAATTAATGTCTATCAACATATTTTATGCATGCTTAAATATAAACTTGGGTTTGTGTCATCATATTTTTTCAAATAAATTTTTTTAAATTAACAATTTATTTTTATTATATTTATTTATTGGCAATAAAAAATGAAGTTTTCACGATTCTCTATTTCATATCAGTGTACCGGTATGAAATTGATAATCTTGGAAATTTGTTATAAAGTGGAAATCGTATTATATAAATTGTATTATTTTGTTATTAAAGGTGCGAACGCACCTTAATAACAAAATAATATCCTAAAATATAGAACTCTAAACAACAATTAATCCTGTCACTATGTAAATAAAAACAAAACACTTCATACTCAATTCAAAAGTTTTATTGTAATATATTAATGTGTATAAATGTTTAAGTGTACCACTCGCTATTATTTAACAACTATGACTGCATAAAGTATTAAATTAAGGTACTCGAAAATAGGACTCTCTAGTCCTCTACGAAGTATTTTTCACAAGAATGTATTTTGCATTAACATTACTATTAAAGTTGCTATTATTATTTTTTGTTATAGAGATTATATACTTTCAACAATGACGACAAACAATTTCTTTACGTTTGTCCAAAAAGAGGTCCCATCCTCCTCGGTATTGGCCCAAGGAGAGTGATTTTATAGGAAATTGGGATCACTTTAAAAAAAAGTTAAATTCTTTTAATTGCGTCAGCAGGAGAAAATTGCATTTAAATTTTCCGCCTAAATAAAGCAAAAACCTCTAATTTCAAAAAGTGTTTGCACAGCCAAAAGTTTTTTTGCATCAACAGTTTTTTTGCATCAAATTTTACAAATATTACAAAATAATATCCTTTAGATTTTACAAAATTATGATTTAATAAAGAATACTTATTATAACTATTCGAATACTAGTATATTAATATATATTATGGTATAACATATTTCTTTTGATATTTTAGTAAGATAAAAAATCCCAAGAACTTTACATAAAAATTTTATTCTTAAGCATGACATTATTTAAAACACATTATTTTTATAAAAGATGTACATATATTTCTAAATATATATACGCTGAGTTAGAAAGTAGCTTAAACCAATACAAATTTAAGACTGCAGATATTCTTGCGACACGGAGACTGTACATTCTTCTGACATAAATAAGTGAAATACACACACAAAAATGTACTCTGACTGAGAATTTTTTCATGAGAATTTTTAATCTACAACAATTTATTTTTAAATGTTTTCGCTGTTAAGATCAATAACACAACTCAGAAGTTTTTTCCCATAATCAGGATTAGAAGCTTTTTAAACCTTTGCTTGTGGATCTTGAATTTGGTATGCATCGATACAGTGGTTTGCTCACCAAATTCTCAGAGCCCAGTTTCATTTTTTTCCAGCAAATTCCTTCATGTAATGAAAAATTGCATGGGGTTTTGGAGTAACTGAAATTACAAGAGCAAGGTAAAGATGCTTGAACTCTGAAATATTTTGAAAAAATCCTGCCTCCAATATCTTTTTAAAACAAGCTTTTTTAACAGATTGAGGCTTTTTGAAGCAATCCGTGAAGCCTTGCTTACAATTTACAATACTTTTGGGCAAGACTTCAACAGTTTGTTGGATTTATATCCATGAAACTATTCTTAACCCGTACCACCCCCCACCCCCCACTTCCGTATGTATGCTTGTATTTGAAAGTGCTAAAGATTCGGCGATTTTTGTGTTTGATTCCATATTTCAAGGAGTTGTTTAAAATTATGGTTATTTATTTATGTGTAAAGGTCAAAGTCGGGTTTCTGTGTTCGGGTTCCGGATTTCTGTGGGGAGGTAATGAATTTCTAGTCCTTTATTAAGTATGTTTATTTCATCTTTTGTTAGTTATGTGTTCAAGGTATTTGTAATTGCTTTGTTTTGCATTTTGCTTTTAGTGGCGTTAGTTTCCTTTTTTAGTTGTGTGTTGTATTTTGTGTCCCATTTTCCGGTCCATTGTGGCATAAATAGTTTCTTGTATGAAAGAGGTTCATGGATTTTTCTAATATTGTTTGTCGCATATATTTTTCGTTTTCTTTCTGCTATTGCTATGAGCTAAGATAAGAAATATGAGAGTTTTAATGTTTATTGAAGATAAGTCAGTGTTGTATTGGGTGTTTTTTGTGTTGTGTTTTTAGTTATGTTTATGGTGGTTTTATGTGTATAAAGTGGTGTTTTAGTAGTTATGTGTGTCCGTAGTTAGTCCCAATATACAAGGGAACTTATATATAAGATTATATATATGATTGTCCCCCATACGTCCACTGATTTAGGGAAAGCACATAATGGAGGGGCTATTAACAACGGTACATGTCGATATAGTTTTAAGAGAGTTGAAAGAGTCTATTGCGCAGGGGGTTAGTCTTAGCGGATAGAACTTAAACAATTACCCCTACAAAAGTAGGTGCCTTCTCAGTTACTATATGACCCAGTAAGCACCCTAAGTTATTTCTACCGGTCACCATATTTTGAATACTAGAAACAACAGAAAACATGCTCCCTGAGCAAAATCTCAACAGATATATGTGATTGGTAAATGAAGGTAGATTGGGAGATTATAAGATTATAATAGAATTTTAGCCAATTCCTCTATACGGGGATGGATATAGGGAGACATTTATACTGCATGAGACTGTGATTTGTAATATAACAATCAAATTTTTTATGACCAAAATTTAAGACCAAAATTAAGAGAGATTTGATAATAATGTTTATATTTAATAATTACTTAAAGAAAGCTTAATTATAATAATTAATTAGAATTAGTTAAAGAAACCTTGTATATAATAATTAATAAGAGACAAGTTTATATATAATAAGTTTCCGAAGGGAAAATGCCTGCATTTTCCAATAACAATGTTAAAGTATTTTCTATTTCTATTATATCATTTTCATTGTGTGCGTCATCTTCAGTATTTTTCCTTTTTTTGTTAGCCGCCTCATTTTGAATAAGAGCTTTTATACATTCGCAAATTTCCCCAATATCTTTTCCAGTGGTATTATAATCCTTCTTCTTTTTCTTTTCATATCTTGCAACGTTTCTTCTTCGAATACGCTGTTGTTTGCTAGATCCTCTGTGGGTTTTATTTTTTGTATTCTAAATGTAAAAACTCGACATGAATTTGGTGATAATATTTTTAAATATTAATAACATTAATTTAGTAATAAACTTTTTTGTAAAGCATTATATTTAGTATGTATAGGCGTATGTGCGTGTGTATATATACGAACCAAATATATTGCAACACATCTTCAAGGCCGTATAATAAAGATTGGATTGAACAGCGGAGGTGACTGATTATCATATTTTAAATTATTCCATTATTCTCACCACAAGCAAAAACTCTTGTCCGAGTACGCAAGGAGACAACAACGATAGCGATTTCTCTCATTAGCCAACGCTATTGGACCCGTGGTACATCACTAAGATTCACCAGTACATCCTAAAGAAGTAGACCGATCGGAATAAAGCCCCATCGCTGACCTCCTCACAACGGGACACGATCATTTAAGCGGCGACAAGGACCCGAATAAAACAAACCATAATAATAACAAGGAGCCAAGTTAAATAGATGTTATAACAAGAAATAGAATATTTTATGGGTTGAATGATCTTTAATGTATTTATAATAAAAGTTAGGTTGAACAGCGGGGGTGACCGATTATCATATTTTAGATTATTCCATCGTCCCCACCACAAAAACAAACTCTTGTCCATGTACGCAAGGCGACAAGCAGCCGTGGCGCAGTGGTTAGAGTTCTGGCTCGGAACTCAGAGGTCCGAGGTTCGATGCCAGCTCTAGCCCAACAAGCGACAATGGTACGGAAGGAGGCGTAAACTTCCTGTTAAATGCTTACCCGCGGTGCTCTATGATAAGACCGTAA